CATTACTGCCTTTTAATAGAGCATAAACATTGCAATCCTGAAGGACAGTAACATCAGCAGTTTCACATACGCTGCCACGGCACTCCAGTTTTTAAATCGCAAGTCCAAACATGGAGAGCAGATGTACACACAATTTATCAGGCACATAGAAGCCATTTTTATGTGAGGTCCATACCTATATAATAAGAAGTATGCCCCTGGGGCCTTTAGCTGATACAGTGGTTAATGCAGTAGCCTTTCAGTTATACAGACTAGGACACAAAACTCTAGCTTGTTTTGCCTGTGGAGACAAGAGGGCTCATCCCTAAATTCTTCCTAAAGTATATTAAAATTCACAAATATATATGCCACAGAGCTAGGCACATTCAGTAGCATAGGGTCACATGGGGAATTTACAATGACAGTAAGAAAAGGTGTTTTAGAAATCACTATTAAAACCATAGAAACTGAATCTGTATTAGGCACATCTCTAACTAGACCCAGACATTTCCTCACTCAAAACAGGATTGAGTAAGCCTTGAGGGACAGCACCACAACATGCAGCAGCTCTCTATCATGCCCCCCTAGCTGGAGAGCACATACTGATTCTGAAACACTCTAGCCAGGGACACAGCAGGGGGATGTAACATCTGCTTGCAGCTGAAGGGCTCCATTTTTTTAATGCTTCAAAGAACAACTCCCCTTAGTGTAAACTTGGGTAGAGATGAACCCATTTGTGACATAATGCGTTAAGTCACAGAACTACACAACTACAAAAGAACAAAATACTCAAATTCAAAAAAAAAAAAGTGGTAGAATGGTTGCCTTACAAGGTGTACTTTTGTTCAAACATGCCCTAAATAACATCAAACAAAGCATTCGGGTTTGTCTACACAGAACACTGCAGTGCCATATAGAGAAACCCAAGTAAGCTCAAGTGGTGGTGGTAGCAGTGTAGATGAGTACCTTACTAAGAATGATCCATACTTACATCATTCACATTGGGGGGGGGGGAAATCACAGAAAGATGCCAAATTCCAGAGCCACAAACACAAAATTAAAAGCAATGGGTTTAATGTCTCCAGGTTCAGCCTTACAGATGAGTTCCAGTTAGGGCAATGGCATTTGGGTTATGATTCTTGGAAATAAGAGCAAGAATGGCATTTGTGTGGGGAAGCGGCTGGGGTAACAGACTGGAAAATTTTTCAGGTCATTCTTCAGACCTAGGTTTGTATAGAATGCATTACTAAATGAGACTACAAAGCCAAAATGACTTGCATTAGTTTTATTTGCTTTCTTTGAAAACCATATTATAAAACAAACAAAGAGAATGTCCGAGGAGCAGGGGACCACAACTATCCTGGGAGGGGGAGGAAGGCATGAGCACCCTCAGGAGGCCTCAGGTGCCTCTACACTAATGCTCGTAGTACAGGGTATAAGCAGAAGGAACTATGCCTCCTGATTGCAAGTAAGAACCCAGACTTAGTAGGGCTCACGGAAACCTGGTGGGACCCTACCTACGACTGTGCGGTGGGCATTCGGGGGTACACCCTATATAGAAGAGACAGGACAGAGAGGAAAGGTGCGGGGTTGCGCTCTATGTCAAAGAGCATCTCACATCATCAAGGATTAGCTTCAGGTTAGAGGAGGGTCGGGCAGAGACACTATGGGTCAAACTACAAGGGGGGCGTGGTGAAAGGGACCTTACGGTGGGTGTCTACTACAGACCACCCAACCAGGGAGAAGAGCTAGACCAGGACTTCTCCAGTTAGCTTATGGAGGTGGTTAGGTCAAGGGATGTTATTGTCATGGGTGACCTATACTACCCAGACATTTGCTGAGAGGAGCAGACAGCCAGGTCTGACAGCTCACGTAGGTTCCTGGCTGTATTACAGGACCTTCACCTTATCCAGGAAGTGCACAGCCCCACTAGGGGTAACACCTTGCTGGACCTGGTCCTGGCCACGGGGGATGACCTGGTGAGGGGACTGCAGGTCCTTGACCACCTGGGCAATAGCGATCATCACCTGCTGGATTTCACTATCCAACGCAGGGCGTCTAGGGCTTACACTAAGGCTAAAGCCCTTGACTTCAGAGAGGAGATGGGAGCCCACAAGGGATGGTTGTACCTTAAGGGGGCGATCCTCCAGGCACAAAGGATAACAGTCCCTGAGAGAAGCAAGGGGGGATAAGAGTGCTCAGAAACCCCCTTGGCTCAGCAAGGGCATTCAGCAATGCCTGAGGACTAAAAGGGAGGCACACAACCAGTGGAAGGGAGGAACTATCACCAAGGAGGAGTACTCCTTGGCCCGGGAGTGTCGGAGGACTATTAGAAAGGCCAAGGCAGAGATGGAACTCAGGCTAGCGTCCAGGATTAAGGACAACAAAAAGTCCTTTTTCAAGTACATTGGGAGCAAGAAGAGGGCACCAGGCAATATAGGGCCCTTGCAAGACACAAACGGGAATCTGGTGGCCACGCCAGACAAGAAAGCTGATATTTTTAACAGTTTCTTTGCCTCCGTTTTCCTGAACAAGGACCAGGATAGCCCACTTACCAGAGGTAGGGACAATCTTGGGGATAGCTCTATCAAGCCTTCAGTCAGTGCAGATGTAGTTAGGGATCTTCTAGAAGAGCTAGACATTTTTAAATCTGCAGGTCCAGATGCCCTCCACCCAAGGGTGTTGAGGGAGCTGGCAGGGGTCATCGCAGAGCCCTTGGCCTGGCTGTATGAGCATTCGTGGTCATCTGGCCAGGTGCCAGGGGACTGGAAACTGGCTAATGTGGTCCCTATTTTTAAGAAGGGGAGTAAGGAGGAGCCAAGTAATTATAGGCCTGTAAGCCTCACCTCGGTGCTCAGGAAGATCTTGGAGAGAATCATCAAGAAGCACATCTGTGGGGGGCCTGCAAGGGAGATCATGCTCAGGGGCAATCAGCATGGGTTCACCAAAGGCAGGTCCTGCCAGACCATCCTGATTGCCTTTTATGACCAAGTAACTAAATCCTTGGATGATGGTGTCGCCGTGGACGTAGTCTTTCTAGACTTTAAGAAGGCCTTTGACACTGTGTCTCACCCCATCCTCATCAATAAATTGATGCCTACACAGTTGGATGGGTAAAAAATTGGCTGATGGGGTGCACCCAGAGTAGTGGTGGACGGGTTGTACTCAACCTGGCGAGATGCAAGCAGTGGGGTGTCACAACCCAATTAAGCAGTGCTCATGCCACTAGCAAGGGATACCAGTCAAAGCATTCTCATTCCGCACTAGGTTAACAAGATGCTGGTAACAGCTTTCTTCACTGTACAAGCTAACAAAAAGTTTTATAGCTGCGTCACTAAAAAGAAGTGAAACTGTAGCCTTCTGTGCTTTACATAAATCATTATAATTGGCCAAGAAAAACAGGGAGTAGCCCTGCGATAAAACCCTAGTGAAAACCACTATATAATTGGAGATTCTAATTAGATTTATGACGTGGCATAAAACAATTGGCTATTACACAAATAAAACCCGCTTGTACTTCCGCAAAATCGGAGACCTCTGAAAACACGTCACAGAGTAAATTGATGAGCTGATCATTCATCAATCTCCCCGCCATGACCTCCCAGGCGTAACCCTTCACCTGCATGCTCGATAAACCTTAACCTGCCGACCGCCAGCCCGTATATATCTGCAGACCGACCTAACGAACTCTAAGCTGTAACTAACTAAGTATCTCTGACCTCCGTCATTCACCACCTTGACAGCGTAAGTAAACAATCTTGCTTTGCAACCGATAAGCATCCGTGCCTAATTCCACTCCAAGCATCACAAGTACCCGCCTGCCGGGCCCCTAAGGCCCCAAACCTCTCGCTGCAGTGTACGGCAGCGACATGGGGTACCCCAGGGCTCAGTCCTCAGGCCCGCACTGTTTAACATCTTCATCAGCGACTTGGACGAGGGGGTGGAAAGCATGCTAAGTTTGCTGATGACACTAAGATGTGGGGTGAGGTGGACACACTTGAAGGGAGAGAGAGGCTGCAACTAGATTTAGACCGACCACAAAAGTGGGCAGACGAGAATAGGATGGGGTTCAACGTAGACAAATGCAGGGTGCTGCACCTTGGGAGAGGGAATCCAGAGCATACATACAGGCTGGGGAGTTCCCCTCTTGAAAGCACAGAGGCGGAAAGGAATCTTGGAGTCATTATTGACTCCAAGATGAACATGACCTGCCAATGCCAAACCACAGCCAACAAGGCCAGCCATACCTTGTCATGCATCCAAAGATGCATCTCAAGCCAGTCCAGAGAGGTAATACTTCCCCTCTATGCGACTTTGGTCAGCCCACAGTTGGAGGACTGCATCCAGTACTGGGCGCCGCACTTCAAAAGGGATGTGGGCAGCCTGGAGAGGGTTCAGAGGAGGGCCACCCACTTGGTGAGAGGGCAGCAGGACAGGCCCTA